AGATGTCTGGAGAGCTTCTTGGGAAACGCGGCTGTGCTCCAAGCCCTGCTGCCCTGTAGCTTATTTTTCAATGCAACTTCCCTGTTTTTGCCAAAAACAAGTATCGAAAAGGGGAAGCGGCGGGGCCAGCTTCCCAGCGAGTCACATGGCTGATAGCAACCAGATGCATGTAAGAGGGGGGAGCGGGGGCTGCACCCATGCAATTTCACCCTGGAGCCGGTACCAGCCCAGGCCTGAAGTGGCAATGGTCTCAGGGCTCCTGCCCAACTGAGCCACCCACAAGCTCCCCCCAGGAGGGGCCAAGACACCCAGGGGCTGATATTTTCTAGCCAAAGAAGAGCTGAGCATGGCCTGGCCTTCAGGCTGCCTCTCCAAGGCCAAGATGTGTCAACCCTATGTGGGAAGGAGTCCGAGGCTGCGCTAGTCTCTGACCTCTCTGATGAGTCTGCCTGACAGAGGCCTCACCTGTGGCCAAGGACCCCCCTTGCTGCAGGCTGGGAGCACAGCTTCCCCTCACGCTCTCCAGTGAGTCACGTCAGCAGAAATAAAGGACCACAATGCCGAGGCTGGAGTCACTTATGTGCAGGAAAAGGGCTGCACTGGGCTTCCTGTCTGAGCAGCTGGCTGGTGAATCAGTCCCAATAAGGAACCCGACGCTTGTCCCACGCTTTGGCCAATGCAGGTCGGGAGGGGTAACGGCAGCAGTGGGCCTTGTCATGTGGGTACCTCCACGGCAGTGGGGCAGAGACCCCCCAGGTCATTCCTACTGCTGCTGAACTAAGCCTAAAAAAGTTGTGCATCCCACTGCAAAGGGTCTGCAAACACCTCTCAGCCTTGTGTGCTCTTTCCTCCACCCCCGCATTCACCGGTGATGCCTCCAATGCTATGCGGTGCTCTGGCACTTGCTGGGCCGAAGACATCATGCCAAGCAGGGCTGTCTGCTGGTGCTGGGCAGACATTGTGGAGGACAGGAGCGGGGTCATCTTTTTGCCAACAGGATGGCACCAAATTTGCTTTGTTTATAGTCAGTGTTTTCATGATAAAAATCACAAACTTCTGCATGAACTGGTCCAGGAGCATTGCCCAGGTTTCTCTCCAGGCTACAATTTCCTGTCGGATGGAGATCGAAAGGCCTCCTTCTGGTGACAGCTAGCTTGAGGACACAAGGCAGGGAATCCTTCTCAGGCAAGGCCAGGCACAAGGCCAGCTTCACAGACACTGGATCTACGAGGCAATTTCACACCTTCTCCGCTTGATAAAGAATTGCAGCAAGTTGGAGGATACTAGACTACTTGAGCTACAAGAGGCTGGGGGCTCCTGACAGACTTCTATACCATGTGTTTAGACCTACATTAAAGAAATGCTTGTGAAATGCAGAATACCTACACAGGTACCAAAGGGTGGGTACAACGCATGTTGACAATATACTCTAAAAATGATCAATACAATCAATGCATTATTACTGATTGGGCTGGCGGGTTTTGCCCTGGTCTCTACTCAACCCGTTTATTTGGTCGAGGTTTTTATATTGCCCTCCAAACATTATGCAACTTCTGTGCACTGGGCTAAAATCAGCGCATCCCTGCTGAAAGCTGTTACCAATCCAAATGAAAGCCATGTTTTTAATTGCACCCACTTGCAAGAACACATGAATTGAGTGCAGAGCGTGTCCAAGAGCCGTGGAGGTCACTCATTTGCACCGAGAAATCACTTTTGCACAGTATTTCCCCTCTGAATGGGTGAGCAGTCCCCGTGGGTGATAAGTTAATTGCAATATTTTCCTTTACATCTGGAAGGCGACACCTTTCTGACCATCTTACAACTGCATCAAAAAATCAGGTCATTCTGGTGGAATGGAACATCTCATCCTTCCTCAGTTCTAAAGCCAAATTGCAACTGTGATGGGAGAGCATGGGCAGAAGGTGGGTAGATTTGCAACTTTTAGACTAAGTAAATCAGAGCTGTCCGGCATAAGCTTTCGTAAGCAGCAGGCCGATTTCATCAGATGCTGTGAAGGGGGTCACAGGAAGCAGAGCTGCTAAACAGAAAGCAGTGACTGAAAGAATAGGGGAGGAAGGAGGAGACACTGCTGAGACACCCAAGATGGGTAGGAGAGAGAAAAACAAAGCGGTTAACCCATGGAGGGTCACAGTAAAGCTAATCTAGATCATGGGATAAGAAGCCACAGTCTCGGTTTAGACCACATTTAACAGAGTCCAGCCTGTGGATGATTTGTTGTTCTGCAATTTCCCCTTCAAGTTCGCTTTCAACATTCAACTGTTGAAGAAAAGCCCCTCTGAGGTCAGTGACGGGACGTTTCATAGTTTCATAGATTTAGGGTCGGAAGGGACCTAGTAGATCTTCTAGCCCGACCCCGCGCCAGGGCGGGAGAACAACAAAACCCCAAAACAAGAAAC